ACCAGGCGGGGGTGGCAGCTGCCCAGCAAATTGCCGACCGCTCCCCCTGTAAATTCCCGTGTCTTCCTCCCTCCCTCCACAAACTCTGATTTATGAGGACCACGATGCAGACAGACACATTGTGATTGGATGCACTGCTCTCGGGTAGAGAATTTACTTCAGATCAACAGAAAATTATTTCTGAAGCTCCCTCAGCCATTAGTCTCTGTTAGGCCAATGCAGGGAGCAGGTGGGACCAAGGGGGTCCTCTCAGGAATTATCTCGAACCAGATAAAACGACCAATGGCTAGGGTCAGGGCGTTAGTCCTCTGCCCATTCCTGGAGAAGCCTCGTGACTCCTGGCTTCCTCCTTCATTACCAGAGCCCTGCTCTCTCTCCTCCCGGGCCTCCCTCCTCTCATCTTCTCTCCTCATTTTCTCTGCTCAGCTGCCTTCCTTGGACCTTGCCTAAGTAAATCGAGCACCTCTGTCAACTGCTTGTTTCTTATGTGTGTCCACAACTGTGTCTGCACACGATCATCCTCACTGATAACCAAGGAACCTTCCTTAGACCCAGGAATTTAGAGGGGAGCGGTCGGCAATTTGCTGGGTGGCTACTACCCCATTCTGCTCTTACTACAGATGCTGGAATGGTTGGGTTTCAGCTCCATGTCAACAAGATGGACAAGATGCTATAGTTGTGTAGTGGTCAACCTTAAAGAAACAGAATTGTCTGACAAACCAGGTCGCGATGTCTCATTAAACAAAGTCTCAGCAGTTAGCTGTAAGGTTGGTGGAGCCCATCCAGAGGTACCTCGGAAGTAAGGCCTGGTGAAGGCAACTGGATTGCTCAATGTGTGCACTGAGTGTGGAAAGATTAGAGATCTAACCAGATAGAACCTACCAAAGTCACTTTTATCCATGCAACTCAAGAGCCCTCCTCCCGAAGATTACATAGAAGATGGCCTGGGAAGTAGGATAACTTAAAGTTTGGGGGCCCCAGGAAAACCCTGCCCTTTCCAATGAATAGCCCCCAGCCTTTGGTAAGTGCATGAATCTTTATGGCCTTGTTTTTCTCCTCTGTAGAATGGGAGCAACCATGGTTTCCACTTCAAAAGTGTGTTGGGAGCGTGAAGTGAGTCACCACGTGAATGGTGCTAGGGACACTGGGAAGCCTGTCTGAGTATCTGTTATTACATAACCCTGAAGGTTTATTTTTTTCTTTCTCTTAGTTGGACAATTAAAAGGAAGAATGGAGGCAGCATTGTGGTTTAATACTGGTCCATTGAGGACAAGCAGGGCTGTACATCAGGGTGGATAGATGAGGGAAGGAGACCTGGTGGTGCAGTGGGATGGTGCTCAATGGGGACTGGAAAGATTGGCAGCTCCACGGAAGAAAGACCTGGCAATCTACTTCAGAAGTCTACCAATGAAAACCCTGTGGATCACAACACAACTCTGCCTGGTACGGAGCAGGAAGATGAGCTCCAGGGGTTGGAAAGTCCTTGATAGGATAAGCACTGGACTGTGAACCACAAGGTCAGTGGTTTGAGCCCACCAGCGGCTCTGAGGGAGGAGGATGAGGCTCCAAAACCATATGCAGGATCCCTATGAGCTGGAAAGGACTCGACGATACTTAACAGCAACAACAGTGGATTCGAGCACATGCCAACAATCGTCAAGATGCTACAGGACCAAGCAACACTTCATTCTGTAGGTCACTGAAACCGAAGACTACAGTGAATATCTGTTGAGTGAGTGAATGAACGAGGAAGTGACACAGAACTATCTGAGGGAGCTAGACTGTCAGCACCTCTTCTAGGATGTAGGCTGGACCCATCCACCAACAGGGTCACTATGAGTCAGAACCAACTCAATGGCACTTCACAACAACAGACATTTCCCCACGTGGTTCCAGCATTAGCATCCATGAGGACTAAGAGAGAAATGGGGAAAAGTCCCAAGTATGGATGAGAAAGGGGGGCTTGCTGGCACAATGGTTAAACACTGGAGTGCTAACCAAAAGGTTAGTTGTTTGAACCCACCCAGTGACTCCTTGGGAGAAAAGATGACAGCCTCAGCCTGTTCTCTCCTATAGGGTCTCCGTGAGTCAGAACCGATACACTAGCACGCCACAACAGATGAGGAGGAGGGAGATCCAAGGGACACATCTGTGCCCGCACTCAGATGACTTAATTGAAGCAGTTCTGATGTGCCCTGGAGACCATCAGTGACCAGCCACCCTGCTGGTGGTCTTTGTTCCCTTCATGTTCCCTTTGGGGGCCACCATGTGTGGGAGCTAGTGGTACCCACTCCTGGAAGTTGTAGGGGTCTGCGGGGACAGTGATCAGAGAGCAGGTTCTGACATTCATTTTCTTTTTCTTTTTTTAAAAATATTAAAGATAAGCTCCGAGATGCTCCCTTATAAATCCCTGTTTACCTGTGAGTCTCTAACAATATTTATGGCTTTCATCAGAAGAAGAGGAAGTTTAAGACGCTTATCGCCAAGTTTATTGACTGAAAAGCAGGATAAGCAAGCATATTCAGCGTTTTTTCTTTGCCCGTGGACCCACGAGCTCATTCCATCACTGTGGCTGTCTTTAAAATGAGACTTTTAAGTGTTCTCTAATTGCATAAACTTCCCTCTGAAGGGAGCTGATGCGGGAGCTCCTTGGATCTTTGTCTCTGAGTCCAGATCGCAGCCAAATCTGAGGGTAAATAAACTGTGATCATGAGCCCCCACTCCCCACACACACTCCCCGGGATGAGCAAAGCGTAGAGGGAATAAAACTGCTCTGAGAAGACCAGAGGCTGGAAGAGAGGAGATGATCTTGAGCCAGAGGGACTCCTAACTCATGCACTCAGAAAAAGAAACTTTTGAAGACAAAGCACTTTGCAAAATGAAGAAGAAGAAAAAATTATCCATCATTTCTGGCAGAATAAAGTAGAAGAGTTTTCAGAAACTGGTTGATAAGCTCCCAACAAGGGCATTGTGTCAGGAAACTATTGCTTCTAGACTTGGTCATATTGGAACGCATCCCCATGGCCCAGTGTGATGAGATGAGGTTACACAGAACGTGGTAGGTAGCTCGTTAGCATTGGGTCATCTCAGATCTGTGACCTTAGAGGACTTGTTGCCTTCAAGTCAGTTCTGACTCATACAACCCTTAAGACAGAGTAAAAGTGCCCATAGAGTTTCCTAAGCTTCCATCTTTACAGAGCAAACTGCCTCATCCTTCTCCTGTGCAGCAGCAGTGGGTTCGAACCGCTGGCCTTTCAGTTAGCAGCTAAACAGTGTGCCACCAGGGCTTCCTGAACTAGGTGAAGGTTGTTGATGTTCAGTGCCATGGAGTCAGTTCTGACTCAGAGTGAGCCCATGTACAACAGAAGGAAACATGGCTGGGCCTGCACCATCCTCCCAAGTTAAGTGGAGGTTAGCACAAATACAACTGTAAATCCTGACCCCTGCCTGTTTGTGGCGCTGCAGGTTAATGCACCAGACTGCAAAGCCATTTCAGCTGCAAGGTTGGTGGTTCTAGCTCACCAGATGCTCCTCAGAAACCCTATACAGAGTTGCTATGGGTCGGAACCGACTCAACAGCACTTAGCAACAACAACAAATCCTAAATTACGGAGTCCCGGTGTGGCGCTGTGGGTTAATGCAATGCGCTGGACTACAAAGTCGGTTTAAACCACGCTCATTAGCTGCTACTAGGAAACCCTATACAGGGTCGCTATGGGTCAGAACTGACTCGATGGCGCTTAACAACAACAACATTTGGCACATCGTGCCTTAGATTTACACAGTGATGAGGCAGTCTTCTCTCGTCAAGATTTACTGTCTTGGAAACCCGATGGAGCTATTCCACTCAGCTTTATAGGGTTTCATGCATCAGGTTGTACTCGATGACAGAGAGTTGGGTTCATTACTACTGGAATTAGAATCACTGGGGTCTTAGAAGCTCATGCACATCCATCTAAGATGCACTTATTGATCTCTCCCCATCCAGAGAAAACAGGAGTGATGAAAATTGAAGACACATGGGAACAGCTAGTCTAGTGGACTAATGGACCATGTGAGCTCCAGCCTCCGTGACCCTGAGACCAGAAGAACTGATGGTGCCCAGCTAGCTCAGCAACTGCTCGGGAAGGGATCGTATTAGACGGTCCTGGGTAGAGTGGGAGAAAAGTAGGGAACAAAATCCCAAATCATTGAGAACAAACAAACAGGCTTACTGGTCTGATAGAAACTGGTAGAACACAGGAGACTATGATCTTAGTCACCCTTCAGTTTGGGAACTGAAGGCATCCCGTGACTCAACTTTCAGCCAAACAAAAGGCAATGCTATTCGGGAACCCTACCTTCAGGGTGGTCTGCACTCCTTAGAACAATCAGCTACAGAAGATCAAAACAGCAGCATTTGCCCAAGAACCAAGTTCAGAAGGGTTGGGAAGGAAGGAGGAATGGAAACAGGGACACAGGGAGGAAGTGGGATGAGTGATGTCACATTGTGGGGACTGCAGTCAGTGCCATGAACCAAATTGTGTATTGACTGTTGAACAGAAAACTCATCTGCTCTGTAAGCCTTCACCTAATTCATGAGAAAACGTTAAAAGAAAAGTATATAGCTCTAGAGAGAGAATATGTTAAGAAGCAATAGCTTCACATTTTGATATTTTTGTTTAAGAAAGGTTTCTAGGATTTTGTAGAAGAAAGTCATTTAGCGTCAAATTTGAGAACCAATTCCCAAAAAACATATCCTTAAGATGTTGACTTAGGAAAGCTCCCTCTTTAGAGGACAGCCAGACATGTGGGGTGACACTGGTATGGTGCACATATTTCCAGGGGAGCTTGGAGGGAATGCCATCCCTCCAATGGGACTGTAGGTGCTAATCTGCCATCAGTTGAACAGGCTGGGCTCTCTGCTGCAGCCCCACTTCTCTGAGATGGTGGCTCAGCATCCAACCTCCATTCCCAGGTCGCAGGCACCCCAGCCAGCCCGTGCTTCTCTTGTTTTCCAGGATATCAGATCTCCTGGGAGGTCTATGGGAAGAACGACTCCCGCCTCACACATACTCTGAACAGCACGACTCACGAATACAAAATCACAGGGCTGTCTTCACTCACCACCTACACCATCGAAGTGGTGGCCGTCACCTCAGTGGGGGCCGGACTGGCGACCTCGTCCACCATCTCCTCTGGCGTCCCCCCAGGTCAGTACAATCATGAGTAGTGGTCTATTATTGCTTCTCACGGCAAGCTGTCTGCTGCTCGAAGTTCCCCAGTGTCTGCTTTTTTGCTGACCCTCCAATTCACCAAGCATAATGTCCTTCTGCAGAGACTCATTCCTTCTGATAACATTTCCACAGAATGAGAGACGAAGTCTGGCCATCCTGGCTTCTAAGGAGCACTCTAACTGTATTTTCTTCAACACAGATCTGTTTTTCTTCTGACAGTCCATGGTACTTTTAATAATCTTCTCCAATACCATAATTCAAATGCATCAATACTTCTGTGGTCTTCCTTATTCATTGTCCAACTTTCATAAGCATATGAGGCTATTGAAAATACCATGGCTTGGGTCAGGCGCACCTTTGTCCTCAAACTGACATCTTTGCTCTTGAACACTTTAACATTTATAACATTTGTTGTAAAGATTGGTGCTCATGGTGGCTGTGTGCCACTGAGTCAGTTCCAATTCATAGTTAAAAGATCACAGCCTAGAAAACCCTATGGAACTGTTCTGCTCAATAACGCATGGAAGAGCACCCCCTCAGTAAAAGGATTTGATAGTGTCTGCCCACTTCTTCCACCCGTGTGTGGTGTGGAGGTGGGGAAATGGGCTGGCAGGGAAGGAGCAGAGATTTGAATTTAACAAGGAGCCATGATCGCAAAGCTGTGAGACCCCAGGCTAGCATGGAGGTCCCTTCCTATGCCCCACTTCCCCTGAGTTGGTTCTGACTTATAGAGACCCAATAGGACAGCGTGGAACTTCTCCATTGGTTTTCCTAGTGTGTTGTTGTTGTTGTTGTTAAGTGCCATCGAGTCGGTTCCGACCCATAGCGACCCTGTGCAGGGTTTCCGAGGGTATAAATCTTTACGGGAGTAAAAAGCCTCATCTTTCTCCCACGGAGTGGCTGGTAGTTTCAAACCAGTGGCGCTATGGGTTAATGTGCCAGCAGTTCGAAACTGCCAGCTGCTCCGCGGGAGAAAGATGAGGCTTTCTGCTCCCGTAAAAATTTACAGCCTCGGAAACCCTGTTCAGGGTCACTATGGGCCGGAACCGACTTGAAGGCACTTAACTTAATATTAAAATGAAATACAAGAAATGAAAACAGCCCTGAAAGCAAATAATGAAACTGTGGATTTGAGACAAGACAAGGACAGAGGAGAAGACAGATACAGAGATGGAGAGAGAGAGAGAAGCTCCCAAATTCAGTGTGAGGAGAGAAGGAAGCCTGGGCGTCCAGTGTTGGGCTGTAACCGAAAGGTGGTTCAAACCTACCTGCCACTCTGTGTGAGCCAGAATGCAGTGGGTGTGGATTTGGGGTTTGGGTAAGAATGACCTGCCATACTTGAAGATACCATTCAGCATAGGTAGGTGTGAATACCTGTCATCTTGTCCTTTTGGAAATTCAGATCATCTCCCTAAATGCTTAACGCCCTCCCTTCAGCTTGGAAGAGATTGCTACTAACTTTCTCTCCGATTATGAAGTTCATGTTTAGAATGAAAACATTTTTCTAAGGAATTCATGAATACATGTGAATTCAAGGAAGTGTTGTGGGGTTACCGGCTCAGCATGGACCCAAAAGGCAACCTGCAATCAGTTCATTCTTTAATTAAAGATCTAAGTCTCCTTGACATTTAAAACATGTCAATGTGCCTTGTTTTAGTCTTTGAGAAAAGTTGTTATTGCTGTTGGTGCTATGGAGTTGATTCTGACTCATAGTGACCCCCTATGGCAGAGTAGAGCTGCCCCATAGGACTTTCTAGGCTATCATCTTTACAGGATGGTGGGTTTGAACCACAGACCTCTCGGTTAGTAGCTAAGCACTTAACTGCTGCACAACCATGGTTCCTTTTGCACAACGGCTTTTTCCTTAAAGAACTGAAAGATCTACATGAAACTAGAATTTATCCCCACCTAGGAGTCCTGGTGTGGCGCTATGGGTTAATGTGCCAGACTGCAAAGCCATTTGAACCGCAAGATCGGCAGTTCAAGCTCACCAGCTGCTCTTTGGAAACCCTATACACAGGGTCACTTTGGGTCAGAACTTAACAACAATAAAAAGAAATCCCCATCCCGTTCAATCTTCATAAACTGTTTATTCTCTTACAAGGATGGTGTGCATGACAGGGAGAGGAAGTTAAAAAAACAAAAACAAAAACCCCAAACCACTGCCATCCAGTCAATGTTGACCCTGTAGGACAGAGTAGAACTGCTCCGCAGCCTTTCCAAGGCTGTAAATCTCAATGGGAGCAGACAGCCTCGTCTTTCTTTTAATGAGCAGCTAATGGGCTTGAACCATCACCCTTGCAATGAGTAGCCCAATGCTTGTTCCATAGCACCGGGAATCAAAAATCCCCACAGGAATGGATGTATCCAGCATCCCTTACTTCTTCTTCTGGGTCTGAATTTCAATGAACTGGCTCAATAGTCCTTCTGGTGAGGGTGGTGTGGCCAGTGGGGGCTAGGGGAAGAGTTTCCTGTCCTGAGAGTAGTTTCATAGGGACAGTCCTTCCTAAACCATTTGCCAGGGAGTAAACTCCAACTCAGGGTGACCCGACATGCCTCAGAATAGAACTCTGCTCCATTGGGTTTTCAAAAGCTGACATTTTTGGTCCCCAGAAAAGATCACCAAGCCTTTCTTCCAATGTACCTTGTGAGTGAGCTCAAACCTCCAACTGTTTGGATCACAGTCTAGCACCTTAAGCATGCATAGTGGTGATTATGTGCCGTGGAGTCGGTTCCGACTCATAGCGACCCTGTACAGGGTTTCCAAGACTGTAAATCTTTATGGGAGCAGAAAGCCTCATTTTTCTCCCATGGAACAGCTGGTAGTTTCGAACTGCTGACCTTGTGGTTCGCAGCCCAATTCGTAACCACTGTGCTACCAGAGGAATTCCTAGTAGCTAGGCCATCAGCTAGCTACTGAGCCAACAGGAGGGGTCTGGCCTCACATTGCTCCCACACAAAGTCTTTCTCCATCCAACAAGCAACCAACATCCCCTTCATTCTAAAGCTGTGGTCTGCACACAGAGTTTGCATCAGAATCACCAGGGACTTGTTAGGAAACATACTGCTAGGCCCCACCCCCAGCTTCTAACTCTGCCTGCATGCCCAGTTTGCATTTGGATTGTGTTAGAGGGAGTGGTTGAAGCTACCTGCTGGAGACCCCCCTTTGAGAACTATTGCCTTGAAGCAGTTCATTATTATTATTTTTTAATGCATATGTTAAATGAAATGTTAGGAGTTTTTTTTTTTAAAGAAAAATGTTTCTGAGTTACAGAAAGATACCCCCTAAATTTTATTTAAATAGCCAGTTCCCAGTAAATGTTACAGTTGTGTGCCAAGTCAATTCTGACTTACAGCGACTCCATATGACAGAGTAGAACTGCCCGATGGGGCTTCCTGGGCTGGCATCTTTACGAGACCAGATCACCAGGTTTTTCTCCAGAAAAGTGACGAATGGGTTCGAACCTTACTTGCTGCGCCACTAATCCCAGTAATTAGCACATATTTAAAGTAGTTGAAAGTTGGATCGTGAATAAGGAAGACCATGAAAGAATCGATGGATTTGAATTATGGTGTTGGCAAAGAATATTGAAAGTACCATGGAATGCCAGAGAAGTAAATGAATCTGTTTTGGAAGAAGTATAATCAGACTGCGCCTTCGAATCGAAGATGGTGAGATTTCATCTTTCATTCTATGGACACATTGTCAGAAGGGATTGGTCCCTGCAGAAAGACATCATGCTTGGAAAAGTGGAGGGTCAGCAAAAAAGAGGAAGACCCTCAATGAGATAGAGTGACACAACTGTGGGATGGCTGGCAGCAACTCTGAGATCAAACCTAGTAACAACCATGAGGATGGTGCAGGACTGGGCGATGTTTCATTCTGTTGTGCACAGGGTCATTATGAGTTGGTAATGACTTGATGACACCTAGTAACAATACCTAAGTAGCTAAAGTCAGTCCCCAAAGCATGTATTTAAAATAGGGTTAATGCAGGCATTCCCCAAGAGATGGATGCACAAGTTCCCTTCCTAACTGTGTCTTTATGGATGTGTAGGCTGGTTAATGTGCTGGACCACAAGGTAAGCATGAACTGCAAGGTTGGTGGTTCAAGCTCACCAGCCACTCCTTGGAAACCCTATATGGGGTCCATATGAGTCGAAACCGACTTGTCAGCACTTAACAACAACAACAAGGTGAGTCAGACAGACGTATGAGGTTCTCAGGGAGCCTGACTCTAGAGCAAGAAAAGCCTCACCGTCTTTTCCATGCTTTCAAAGCTGCAGGTACAGTAAGTACAGTTGATGGTGATGGTGGGTTTGTTGTGAGGCAGGGGTTGGTTGGACAGCTAATCACAAGGTGGGCAGTTCAAACCCACCAGCTATTTCTTGGGAGAAACATGAGGCTTTCTGCTCTGGGAAAGAGTTACAGCCTCAAAAACTTCATGCGAGGTCATTTGGAGTCAGAATAAAGTTGATGGCAGTGTGTGGGTAGATGTTGGTCCATTAGTTTGGAGGTGAGGGCAAACTCATAACTTTAAGGGCTTGTGGAGGTTGGCTGTAAACAGGGTAACCTGGGGGCAGCATATACTTTGATGATGGCTTGTGAGGAATGGGATGGCTCAGGGCCAGGCAGTATTTTGTCCTGTTGTGCACAGGGTTCCTATGACTGGAACGGACTCGATGGCACCTAACAACAACAGTAATAACAGCCCTAATTATTACGACATTACACAGTCCTGTAAAACCCCCCCTCCCCCACCTTGAATGTGTCTGCTCAGAGGGAGCACTATACTGTTGTGGGAGCTTCCTACTCACAAGGAGGCATCTGCCAGAGGTAACCTCAGACAATAAAGCCTTTTCAGAGCCCACTTTTCTGTCCAGTCCATTCCCCCGAATCTGGTTGTAGGGAAACCAGACCGAGCAAGCTGGGGGCCTCCAAACATGAACACCTGCCCAGGTGAGCTACCTGGAAGTCATACCTGATGTGTCCGCTTGTCCACCACCCTCCTGTCCTGTGCTCAAGGCACTGAGGAGATCCTGAGACAATGATGGAGATACCATTCATGTGGCTTTCCATCCATTTGTTCTTTCTAGTATTCAACCCGATCTACCTGTTACAGCAAGCTCCCTGGGATCCCTGGGAGCACAGAGGTTACGTGCTTGGCTGCTAACTGAAACAGTGATGGTCCAAACCCACCAGCCACTCCATGGGAGAAAGATGTCACAGTCTGCTTCTGTAAAGATTCGTGTTGTTGACTTCAAGTCAATTCTGACTCCTAAGGACCTATGCACAACAGAATTAACCACTGCCCAGTTCCACCCCATCCTCACAATTGTTTCTACGTCTGAGCCCATTGTTGCAGCCACTGTCAATCCATCTTGTTCAGGGTCTTTTTGTCCCTGACCCTCCATTGACCAAGCATGATGTCCTTTTCCAGGGACTGCTCCCTCCTGATGATACTTCCACAGTAGGTGAGACCAAGTCTCCCCATCCTGGCTTCTAAGGAGTACTCTGGCTGTAGGTCTTCCAACACTAGTTTTTTTGTTCTTCTGGCAGTCCATGGTACTTTTAATGTTCTTCTCCAGATCATAACTCAAATGCATCAGTTCTTCTACAGTCTTCCTTATTCATTGTCCAGCTCTATAAAGATGAAAACGTAGGTAACCCTAGGGGACAGTTCTGCTCTGTTCTACAGGCCAGTAAGAGTCCACATCAACTTGACGACAATAGGCTTTCTTTGGTGGCACAGTGGTTAAGCACTTGACTGCTAACCAAAAGGTGACAGTTTAAACTCACCCAGCTGTTCCACAGGAGAAAGAACTGGCAATCTGCCCCCATAAAAATGACAGCCTAGAAAATGCTCTGTGATGGGGCTGTCCTAAGTCAGAATCCTTGTGCAGAGATGAATGAGATGCAACAGGTCACATGACTACCAGGGATACGTGCCCCTTTACTACCCTTCACAGGCCTGGAGTTGGGGTGACCCATTGAAGGTGTTATTGAAGAAACAATCTATGTGTTCTACATTTGTGGTTTTGCAAACATATGTTTGTTTTTTCCCATAGAGACATTTTGAGACTTTTGACTTAAGCATGTTGGAGATGTTTCCTAAGTCGTGAGTGAATTTCTGTCTCTTCTTGTCCTCTCCTGTTTCTATCTAGAACTGCCAGGTGCTCCATCTAATCTGGTCATCTCCAACATCAGCCCTCGCTCTGCCACACTCCAGTTCCGACCTGGTTACGACGGGAAGACAGCCATCTCCAAGTGGATCGTGGAGGGTCAGGTATGTGTTTCCTTGGAACAGGGCAATGGAATGTCCAGAAATTTCTATCTTTGCAGAATGATTCAGCCAGACCTGAAGCCATCCAGCTCAGGGTGGTTTTGATAAAGCACTGGACTGCAAGATTGGTTTGAACCACAAGGTCAGCAGTTCAAACTCACCAGCCGCGCCTTGGAAACCATATGCAGGGTTGTTGGCACTTAACAACAAGAAGCAGTGTTTGAAGGAAAGGTTCCCAGGTGATGTGCATGGCTAAGTGCTTGGCTACTAACCTAAAGATTGGTGATTTGAACACACCCAAAGGCACCACGGAAGAAAGACCTGGCAATGGACTTCCATAAAGATTATAGTCAAAATAGGGATAGAAGGGGAACAGCAGCAACAAAAAAAGAACACAGCCAAGAGAATCCTAAAGGGCACAGTTGTATTTTGGCACTCACTCATGGGCGCCAACTGGACATCCATGGCTTTGTTTGTTGGTGGTGGTTAGGGTTTGAAGAGGACTCCTGGTGTGCACTGTAGAATCAGCACTAGACTACGTGAACTATAAGGTCGGCAGTTGAAACCCACCAGCTGCTCCTCAGAAACCCTGTAAAGGGTCGCCATAGTCGGAACAGACTTGCAATTAACGACGACAGTGTTAAGTGCTATCAAGTGTTTTCCAACTCATAGCAACCTTCTATATGGTCTCAAGGGGATTTGAACCACCAACCTTGTGGTTAGCAATCCAGTGCTTATCCTACAGCACCATACCTATTAGGACTATGTTGTTGTTGTTGTTGAGTGCCATTGAGTCAATTCTGACTCATAGTATCCCCATGTTGCAGAGTAGACCTCTCCCATAGGGTTTCCTAGTCTGTCATCTTTAGAGAAGGACTGGTAGCACCATAAGTTAAGCTTCAGGCTGCTAGCTGCAAGGTCAATAGTCCAAATCCACCTGCCACCCCAAGAGAGAAGATGAGCCTGTCTGTTTCTTGAAAGGTGTGCAGCCTCAGCACCCCTGTGGGGCAGTTCTATTCCATTCTGCAGGGCCATTGTCAGTCAGAGTGGACTTAGGGCAGTGAGTCTTAGTCTTTATGGGAGCAGAGTCCCAGGTCTTTCTCCCACAAGCTGCTGGCGGGGGTGGTGTCAGACAACCAATCTTTCAGTTAGCAACCAAGCGCTTCACCATCATGTCACCAGGACTCCTTTAGGTGAGTTGTTGTTATTGTGTGCTGTCGAGTAGGTTCTGAGTCATAGTGACCCTATGTAGGGTTTCCAAGGAGTGACTGGTAAGCTTGAACCTCTGGCCTTCTGATTCAAATGACTTTGCAGTCTGGCGCATTAACCCACAGCGCCAAACCAGGACTCCCCAGTGCTTAGTAGTCAGCTACAAAGCAGCATGCCGCCCAGGGACCCATTTGACAATTACATTCAAACTAGGGAGGTGGTGGATCAGAAGCTTGCTTGGGATATGGGGAGAATGACTGCACTCATGCCCGGCATTGTGTGTCGGGGGGTGGGGAGGGGTGACTTCTGGGGACTCCAGGAAAGCTAGTCTAGGCAGAGCGCAAGGGGAGTGGTCTCTGGGTACAAGTCTGGACATGTGAAGGACTCTCATGAGCTAAGTTAGCATCTACTTTTCTTCTCTGGCCTCCTCTTCAATCGGGTCTTCTCTGCAGGAGAGCCTTCTTTAAGCTCTCAGTTGCTGCTCTAAGCGTTCCAGGAAGGTTTGATGCCTTAGAGGTATCCTTAGTGAATTACGGAGGGGACTGACAAAAGGCCCCTTGATCAGCTGATGATCGGATGTGGGTTTAAATAAAAGAAAATAACTGACACTTTCTGTTGGTATTTCTGGATTGGTGATGCTCTGCTTAATTAATAACCTTTGTCTGTCAAGTGAGTAAAACCTCTCTCCCCACATGCTCATGGTCACTGTGATAGCTGAGAATGTTAATGTTGCGCATTTTCATTTGCCGCTTCTCTCTACCTGCATGGCATCTCAGCAAACCCCTGCTGTTTCCTGTGCCCTAATAGTGGAAATAGCATGGAGCCTCCTGAAAAACCTGCTCTGAGCAGGGGTTTCCATAATGAAGACGCTAGTAGTAACACTTTGGCTACAGATAAAACCGCTTCCATTCTGAAAATGGAAAGGAAAACGGGAAGAAATAAATATAAAAGCCCACTTAGTGCTTATGTGTGCATAATAGTAGCCATTTTCTTAAAAGGAACTGCTCTAGAGAGTGTTATGGACTAATAAAATAAAGCAGGAGTCTGTTTAGCGTGAGTCTGTCTGTAAGTAAAGAGTAGTGAACATGGAGCTTACAGGATCCCAGGAGCCAGCAGATAAGGCGCTTAAAGATGCCCAAGGTCACCAGGCGGTGTCCCTGGTAACATCACTTACAATAACATACACCTCAGAGACATCAGAAGAGCGACCGGCATCTTCCATCTCACAAATGGACTTTCTGCCGAGGGATGGGTGTCAGCTGATGGATGGGAGACCGTGGGCTTTGTTTCATTTTTCTCTGAGCTGATATACTCACCAATGAGAACATCTTGTAGGATGTATGTGGCTTTCTGTTTCCCTAACATGCCCTTGATTCAAGGCCTCCTGCAATACATTTCTCCGAGAGGCGAGAGGTAGGGAAAACGTTGTCTCATCCAATAAGTATGTCTCCTTTACTCTTGCCAGTAGCTGAAACCCTTACCATCTGGGTTGTTTTCTCCTTTGTTGTTGAAACTATTGGAGATGGGATAAAGGCAAAATGTACTGCCTGAGACTATTCAAGGCTAGTAGCTCCCTTCTGTTTGCATCAGATGATGCTGTGGTTGTTCCTTCTGGTCCAGGTAGTACCTCGGTTGCTCCAGTCCTATGCTGGACAGGGAGTCTCAGAGACTGTCCAGTCTATACTGCTGTTGTGATGGATAGCTGCTGTAGAGTTGACCCCAGGTACAGCAGAACAGTCATTGTCCAGTCTTATGCCATCATCATGATCCCTGGGATATTTGTGACCACTGTGTATAGTCTCACCAAACATCTCCCTCACCACCGCTGGCCCCGCCATGTAACCAAACACTATATCCCCTCCTGATAGCACATCCAAAGTAAAGTATTCAATGTTTCAGACAATATTCTGTGGTCCACAGGGTTTCCATGAGCTGATTTCCAGAAAGAGATCGCCAGGCCTTTCTTCCTGGTCTGTCTTAGTCTGGAAGCTCCTTTGAAACCCACCCACCTAGGATAACCCTGCTGGTGTTTCAAATACTGGTGCCATAGTTTCTAGCATGATAGCATCACTCCAGCCACCGCAGGAGGACACTTGGACAGATGGGAGGGGAGCGCCTTCCTGTTTCTAGGGAATAGGAGAGACTCATGAGAGAGAAGATGCAAGTGCCTTCTGGGGCCTGTGTCTCCACCTCAGAGGGAGAAGCCAAAGGGACCGAAGTTCATTCAAAGACAGGATGTGTGTGTGCCTGAAACCAATGACTGGCTTAGCGCGTTGCTCTAAATTGGGATGAGGGTTTATAATGCAGTAGGACGCCCCATGCATCCCGGGCCAGAAGCTAACCTGAGTTTGATCAGCAGACCATCAGCTGAACATCCATCTGATGGTACAAGGGGGCTTCAAAAAGTTTGTGGAAAAATCCCATGATCTTCTCATTCCATTTTTCCATGAACTTTATAAAGCCCTCTCATATTTAGAGATCACTCGATGAGACCGTAAAATTCCACAGCTTGAAAAACTGTCCATTCCAGCGATCCCATATCTCCTCTTCCCAGTAGAAATGCACTTCAGGAACATGCTGGCCTCAGAGTTGCACTGGCTTGCATCTTTGCAGAGGACTTTGCCTGTTCTTGACTCAGCCCATCCCCAGAAAGCACAGATGTAGCCATGCAGCTGGAGAATCTGGCTCTAAATGAATGAGTCACCTCACTTGGGAGGCTAAGGGATGCTTGTACATTGCCCAGTTTAGCCTCAGCTATTTTATTTTTTATATATTATCTTGGCATCTTAGTTTTTTAATGCTGTTATAACACAAATACCACTAGGGGATGGTTTTAACAAACAGAAATATATCTTATCACAGTTTGAGGGGCTAGAAGTATGAATTCTGGGTACCGAGTTGAACTCCAGGGGAAAGCTGTTTCTTTCTGTCTGCTTTAGAGAAAGGTCCTTGTTTCCATTCAATAGTTATGGTCCCAGCATCCCTTGGGGTTCACCATATGTCTTAATATCAATGTTTTCTTGGGTCTAGGAGGGTCTCAGCATGTGGACCCTAGGTCCAAAAATGCACTCCACTCCCAGTTCTTTGTGCTTAGTGGTAGTAGGTTCCTCAGGGCTCTGCTCACTTGCTTAATCTCTTTTATGTCTCAAAGGAGATTGACTGGAGATAATTTCATCCTGTAGATTGCATCTTGCCACATTGACATAACCGCCTCTCATCCTGCCTCACTGGTATCGTGTGATGTTGTTGTTCAGTACCATCAAGTTGGTTCAGACTCAAAGCAGCCCCAGGTATGAAATGAAACACTGGCCAGTCCTGCACCATCCTCACTGTCTTTGCTGTGTTTGAGCCCATTGATGCAGCTGCTATGTCAGTCCATCTCGTTGAGGGTCTTCTTCTTTTCCTCTGACCCTCCACTTTACCAAACATGATATCCTTCTCCAGGGACTGGTCCCTCTGTTAACATGTCCAAAGTTCATGACACACTTGCTTCTAAGGAGTAGTCTGGTTCTCCTACTTCCAGGATGGATTTGTTCATTCTTCTGGTAGTCTATGGGACTTAAACAATGTACTTTTGCCAACACCATCCTTCAGCTACATCAGTTCTTCTCTGGTCTTCCTTATTCGGTGCTCAGCTTTCACATGCATGTGAGTTCATAAATACCACCTTAGCCCTTAAAGTGACATCTTTGCTCTTGAGCACTTTAAAGAGGTGTCGTGCAGCAGATTTGCCTAATGCAATATGTAATTTGATTTCTGGACTGCTGCTTTCATGAGCTTTGATAAAGTATTCA